TAAGTCATGTCTGCTGATTCATCATCATCTGCGTGTTTAAAGAATTGCGTTCCTATCGAAATATTACAAGAAAGAGGTATCTGTTTACAGCCTGCGTTCACGTACGTCCAAACATAATTGCGGCAGTAATTACCTTTTTAATCTTTTTTAACCAGCGGAAATGCGTTGTCGAGTCAAAGGCCGGTTTTGACTCCTTCCTGGGAATACTCCATAGCCACTTGGAAGTTTCTGCAAGGTGGCCACTACACCACAGGGCAATTCAATCTGATAAATGAGCAGGCGAAATCGAAACCGATGCCGTAAACATCGCATCTGCCATTCTCTTCAAAAACGTCCTGAATGACCACACTGTTTCCCAATCGTGCGTCAAGCGTCGTTCAGCTATAGGCATCGCAGGTGAGAAACCGGAACCCAGCGACGGCGAACACTTCGCCACTGCGGGAGACGAGCTACACCCCATCACCATCGCTTGAAGTGTCACCGCGTTCGGCGTTGCCTTCGCGGGTTGCTGCCTCCGGCACTTCGACACCTGCACCATGCCTGTAGAGCCACATGAAGCAAGACTACGAAGGTGGTGTCGTAGACGAGTTCCGGCATGGCCACGCCCTCTAACCAGCAGCAGCGGACCTCGAAGGCAACGGCAGTGGGAGCTAAGATGGACGAAGCTATAGTATACGTAGTAAACTGTCCAGCAGTATATGCGATGAGACGCCAAGCCACACAAGAACAATGCGGTGCATTGATGACCGCACAAAGAAGCAGAAGCCATCCATGCGGATTATATAAGGAAAAAGGAAGCGTGAGAGACTGCCTCGCATTGCGACTTCTGAATCATGAAGTTCGCTTTGAAGGAACAGTAATACAAGGTAATAAAGAAATGCAGGCTTTGATGCTAAATTGACCGGGCTATATTCGATATGTCTATGAAAGGGTACTGTTCCCATCATCCTCTCGCATCGCGGCTGGCGAAACAAGGATGGCGAAGTGTAGTTTTTGTTATTTTCGTGTGTGCTGCAATGCTTATCGACTTACAGATACGGCTGCGTAGAAGTCTTGCTGATCTTCTTTTCTGTCTTTTTTTCGCGTTGACAACTAAATAATAAAATAGGAATTCAACGGCATAAATGGCGAGTGCGCTTTATCCTGTCGACCATGCTTGAGATTCAGGTTGATAAAATTATGTGAGCTGGAGGTTACGGAGTGGGAGGGAAGAGATAGGACTAGCTAGCGCTACTCAATGAAACACATTTCCTTGCCTCGTAGATGGCTGATTTCTGAAAAAAAAGCCCCACCACGATGGTCTAGTGGCTAAGGTACTCGGCTGCTGACCCGCAGGTCGCGGGATCATATCCCGGCTGCGGCGGCTGCATTTCCGATGGAGGCGAAAATGTTTAGGCCCGTGTACTCAGATTTGGGTGCACGTTAAAGAACCACAGGAGGTCGAAATTTCCGGAGCCCTCCACTACGGCGTCTCTCATAATCATATGGTGGTTTTGGGACGTTAAACCCCACAAATCAATCAAATCAATCTGATTTCTGAAAGATTTGGTGGTCGGGATTCGAGCAACACCTCGACACCGGGTGTTATCTTATCAGCGCCTGCTCTATTTACTTCCTCACAAAACTAGACTGAGGGAAATCGGCTATTCATGATGAGGAGGCCTTGGGCTTTCTTATGTGATTCCTAAAGAAAAAAGAAAAGAAAAATGAGCCCCGTAACTGTCTGCATCAGAGTGCGACTCAACCATAGCTCTCGAGGGATGAGGGTAAGGAGGGATTAAAAGAATAAGATTAAAAGGTAAGTAGATAGAGGAGGAAAGAGCGAGACGCAGGGACAGCGAACGACAGAAAGCAATGGAAGTAAGGAGGAGATAGCAAAGATGAACAGGGTCGCAGGAGTCCGAGGACGGCGCACCACTCAGCGAGAGCTGTTGTCGGCGTTAGGAGATGGCGTAGGGCGAGCCAGTTGGCCAGAGCTGCACTGTCGTCAGAGATCGCGGGGCAAAACCGGTCGGCACGAAATCCAGAGAGCGAGTCGGCCTTGGTCCCCTAGGTCCTTCGGCCTTGCCTGCCAATCTATTTACTACTGCATACGACTGTCCGTTCAAAGATGAAGGCTTATGAATATGCAAGTAAGATTTTTTTTTAATTTGGAAGACTACAGTTAAGGGCGTAAACTTTTAAGCACAATTTTGCATGCACATAGACACATGTGTTTTTCAGCAGATATACCAATGTCCGACAACTATGGTGAAAGACTTGCAGGCCTTATGCGGCCTACAGGCTTTCTGTTTGATGCCCCTACTCTAAATCTAGTCAAACTTTATTGGAGATCGCGCAATGAATAGTCATATCAATGTGGTACATTTGTCAAGAACCAGAGCTCGTTTCGCAGAAGTTTGGTGTCGGGGTCGCTGGTCGTGAGCAAAAAATCGGCAGCGTTCGTAAGCGAGACATTGAGATGCAACAAAAAATATTACGTTGTTGTGGGAACCGAACTCAATACTGAAGCGCGGCAACAAGGTGATCTACCACAGAGCCACGACCATGCACAAAATCGCTTCGGCAAGGAACACTAGTACACATGATATATGTATCACGTGTGAAAACATGTGAATTTTTCAACGAGAAAGTGGTTTAAAGGACCATCATTTACAAACTACAGAGGCATAAATTATTATCTGCAGCAGCAGCATGAACGTGTGAATCTGCGGAGGCGCGCATGCTGGTGTTTCTTGCCAACTCGCAAGAGGAACAATTTTGTTGTGCTGTACTGTATGCAACTCTACTTGAAGAAGGTATTCTAAGGAAGTTTGAAAGGAACAATTTACAGGCACACAAACGTTCCTTTCCTTGACGCATTGGTCAGCTCCAACCTGGGCGATCAGGGGCCCAAGACACTGCCCGATCCGAAGTCGTGCTGAACTAAGGACACCTCTCCTTAGCTACTTTGTAAATGCAGTAATTATTCTCTCTCTTTCTGTTTCTCGCACCGTCATTTATTCAAAGAAGCTGACATCTCTTCATGCCCATGTGATTCAGATTACTGTGGTGGCAGTCGCATGGCTTGAGCAATAGAGAAGCGAGTGAGTTGAGTACGTGAAAGCTGTCGGTTTTCGACGACGGTGGTCATTTGCGACCCTTTGAGACCAGTCGCTTTACGACTACAGTCGGTCGCACAGCCAGTACTACTCGTAAATGTGAACGAACCTTTGCTTCTAGGAGCAAGTGTGAATGAACGGCGTTTGTGTGCCGGAACTTCTGCTTATTTTATTCCTGTTTGAACGCCCATGAATAGCTATAGACCAACTATAGCTCAGCTCTCTGTTATTTTGAGCCCTTAACGTTTTATCTGCCTTTGTCGATATATATACTACCTTAGTGAGATGTACGATTCCTATGAAACCAAAACTTCATTTAGATTAGAGCCTACAAGTTTCTTTAGATGACAGATGAGTAAATGCGAGTAAACTATTACAGTGACAGCAGGGAAGTAAAGGGCAAGTGACCGAAATGCATTTAAAATTGTCGAAAGGTAGCACTCTCGGCTTTCATGACTGAAACGCTATAACTCAGTCGATCTCTCGAAGTACTAATAGTGGGTGTTTCGTTATGATGGTGCAGTGAGGAGAAGTTTAACAAATGGTTGGTGGGCCTATGTCGGAATGTGCTGTCCATTTAGAACGTGCAAAAATACAACAATAAGCATTTTTACCATTGCTCGATAAGTCTATTTCTTGGCAAGCGAAAATTATGCGTTTCACTTTTTCAACAGTGAATCTGTTGAAACTCGAAGTGTAAGTTCTATACCACAACACTTTTTATAAATGTGTATGTGCCAAAAAAAAATGGGTTCGTCCTACAATACTGTCCACTGGTACAATATCGAAGAAGACAAGAGTTGACCAAAGTAACGGATCTGTGATGCTGTGCCGCTGTGCCGCATGAGAAAAATATCCTTATAATAAAATAGTGTGTGCCTCAGAAATTGTGGGAATTATACAACTCGCAACTACCACTAACAAGAAGGAAGGCTACAGTTTGTCCAACAAATGACTACGATGCGATGGTTGCGAGCCGAAGACGTCGAGTACGTGCAATGAGAGAATACTATAGACAACGGGAAATGCAACAAAGGTTACTAGAAGACCCCGAAGCGATGAAAGAGCTACGCCCACGATGACGGGCCCGCATCGTATTGCGTCACTGTTGGTAGTTTAACTCGAACCTCTGTGTGCTGAGAATGAACCTATAGACATCCTAGCATCACTTAGCTGAAGCCAAGCAACGACCTATAGATCATTACCATCATCATCATCGTCATGATCATCAGCCCGACTACGCCCACTGCAGGGCAAGGATCAACTTATAAACAACCCTTACAACTTATAATGCCCAGAAACAATTTAGAATCATCCAGATTTGTCTTCAGAATTGTCCAATTTAACAACTTCAAGGCTACAGCAGCTTATTCTAAGCTTCGCCCATTTTTTACCAAGGGAAGGAAGGTTTACCAACACCTTTTCTTGCTTTTCACGCATTAAAGTAAACCTCCACCTTGTTTTCTTCGAGCAGCGCGAAGCGACATCTTCCTCACTCACTACATTGAGGAAAAGAATACTAGAATGGCGTCTTTGAAAGATCGGCCTAGAATTATCAGAATCGCCCATTGTTTCATTTGGAGCCACTTCTCTTCTGAATTCACCATTCTTACTTAATAATAGCTTTGCGAAATAATACTGTCATTAAATATTTCATTACTGACAATTGTCACTTCAAGTCAATACATATATACTTATGGCATCTAGAAACGAGAAAATCCCTGCAACCTCGACTCGGACAATCTCCTACTATGGGTGTGTGTCATGCACACAGTATAAAAACAACAATATTTTTGGAATGTACTTGCTGGCATCACTATCGCCGCCGCAATCAATCAGCTCGCTCTGCTTATTCTCGCGCCTGCGCAAGCTGGGAACACGCGCTGGGACATCTCGGCGATGGAACGCACCGCATCGGTGCTTCTGTGCTTCTGGTTCACGATGATCGTCGCCGTGCGGACCCACCAGCCGTGCCCGCCACCGTACAACGCCACTCACACCATGTGCATGCCTCCCTACCAGGACTGCACCACGCTGTACAGCGATGTACCGGCTTCGTTCGTTACCATCCTGTGGGTGCACAACCACTACCGCAGCCATCTCGCGCTGGGCCACCTGGCAAACTTCCCGTCGGCCGCCAACATGCTCCAACTGCGCTGGGACGATGACTTGGCAGCGGTAGCCGACGCGCGGGCGCGCCGCTGCATCGGCAAGGAGGGCGTGCTCTTCACCGACAACAACGAACAGCGGTGGACGGCCGACTTCCCGCTGGTGGGCCAGAACGTGCTGAACCAGCGCAGCAAGGAGGACAGGCTCTCTGTCAACTGGGAACACGTGGTGCGGGACTGGTTCAAGCAGAACACCGTGTTCTCGGTAGCCCAAGCGGAGAACCACAGTGCCATTTTCGGTGCGGAAGCCTTCAACCAGATGGCCTGGGCGCGCACCTACGCCATCGGCTGCAACTACTCGAGCAACGAGGTTCCGGCATTCAAGCCCGAGAGCAAGGTGTTCATCTACGTCTGCAACTACGGGCCCCAGAGCGGTGAGATCGGCCAGCCGCTGTACCAGGCCGGGGAGCCCTGTAGTCTCTGTCCCGAGGACACGTTGTGTGATCCCACCACGGGACTCTGCATGCTCCAGGGTGATAAGCCGGGCCCCGACAAGACTACGACGACTGCGATGACGGGCAAACCGTCGGTCTTGGTGACCCCTGCAACAGCCCGCGGCTTGGCTGCCGGGCCAGTTGCCGCAGCGACTGGTTCTATGGTCGCCGCAGCCTTGGTGGCCATCCGCATGTGGCGCCAGGTTGTCCCCTGAGGACGGACCACCGGAGGAGATGACCTGCTGCGACGAATGTTTTACGCTATTCGATCATTTTCTACGAACGATGTTAACACTTTAATGACGCATGCGCGGAGCTGCGCCGGAATGAGATAATGCCATTTGAGACAGCCAGCGCAGTGCGAAGAATTTGGCTAGTTGGGCTGAACAGGAGGCTACATGCAGATGTCGCAGAATTCGCGATGACGATTAAGTAAAGTTTTTCTTCGTTTTCTGAAATGCTAGTTGTGTGCACTGTGCATTCGCTTAACTTGCTCGTATCGTAGCATTAACGCCTTCTTTTCTGCGAATAAACGATCGTAAGGAGGATAGAAGCCAAAAATGACTGCGCCCATTTCGTATTGCTATCCACTAACTTTCTAGGAACGGTTTCTTTTGCGTAGTTTGATAGCTCTTTTAAAGACATCACGTGCGTGGCGGGCTGCATTTTCAGGCAATTGAGTAGTTGGACATGAGTCTGCACACAAAATACGCTACGAAAACTATTTTTTTTCAGTGCGTATACTATTGAACGGAGTATAGCACCCAGAAAATGGGACGATGTTTGTCCTTTCCATTCGATAGGTGCGAAGAACCTAAGGGGCTGGGCTAGTCGGCGTCTCATGTCGTCACGGTCTGTCATAAAAGAAACTTCATAAGATTATGTCATGCCATCATGGCATGATTACGACTCAATATCGATTAAAATTTGTGACGCAATCATGACGTGAAGACGTGGCGGAGCACCTTATAACATCGTCGATCCTCATGATGACGTCATCTTCTTGTCGGTGCGTAATGTCGTCACGGTGTCTCGAGTAGTTACGGTAAATAATAAACAAGGGCATGCGCAACGAAAATTGGTTGAAGCCCACAACTCGCCCCGGTTGACTAAAAATTAAAAATGCGACGGTTAACGCAATGAATAGCTGACGACCTTAGTGGAAATGAGGCACCTTTCCCTGCCATAGGGAACTGAAATTGAGCATGTAGAGAATTCTATCTGCAGCTTCTCTGCAGCTTTTTTTTAGAAACCGAAACAATAGAGCATCACTTTCTGTCATTTCTCCGGTACAGATTACTGAGAGAATGACTTCTTGTTAGCGCATTCGCTAAGTTGGGGCTGAACTTGACAAGTGACAATATGCTTCGGTACTTCGACTTTGGGCTTCAGCCACAAGAGCGCTTTTATGCCGTTTGTGCTCATACCCACGCAACGAAACGAATACTTTCTTTCTGTATTATTATTGTTGCAGATAGGCTAACACAAAAAGAATATTATAGTTTCTATTTTATTATCATTATTTCTGGTCACATTCAGTTACAGCTTATGTAAGGACTGCACTGCCTGGTCTGAACAGTAGCAAAATTATTATTGCGCTCTTTTCATTTTACGTGTGTTACTTTTCCCTTGGTTATCTATATTCAATAACGAGAATGTATCAGTAACTCGTGTAATCAATTCCTAACCAATCCCCCCCCCCCCCCACAAGTACATATGAGCCATGTTCACAGTATCATGATCAACATCATCAAGAGGAGGAGAAAAGACGGCATTGTTTGCTGCTATCAAATTTTCCGAGATGTCTGAATTTGACTATGGCATGATGCTTGAAGAAAGCACTCTCTTGGGTCTTTGCCTCTACGACAAGACACAAAAGCACTTATTGATAGAAATGTGTGCACCTTGGACCTGTGATGTGTAAAGGAACTTTTTTTTTGCCGTGTCTCATTCAAACGTGTGCACATAAAACCATGTTCCATAAAGGCAGTGACCAATCCCAGCCCATGACGTCTCTTCATGCGAAAACAATGTTACTTCATGTCAAGAAAGTGCCGGCTCTATACATGTATACATACAAATGAATTTTCTTGTCTGGACCACGCATAATAAATCGCACGCGTATTGAAAATGAAATTCGTGCTGATAGACGCTTAAAAATATCATAAATAATCGAAATCAATAAGGAATCTTCCCTCCACTGCGTGCCCTGCGATTAGATTGCAAAACGTATCACTATGTTTATAACAATCTGGAGTCCTGCCCATTTTCAGCAAAAGATTTTATGAGATCACAACTACAGCCGATTTTGGTGGTAGTCAGCCGCCTCCGCCGATCTCAGAAGCCGCGACACTCTGCGCCTCGCCAACTCTTTCTTGACCAGTTGGATTCTGTATTCGACACCCTATTCACATTTGCGCCAATGTGATGTAAACACACTCGAATGCATTCTCCGCAAGTTATACAAGCGCGCCCTTGACCTCCCGATCTCGACGTCTAACCAACGCCTTGTCGATTTGGGTATGACCAACACGTACGGAGAACTCAAAGAGGCCCATCTTAACAACCAGTGCCAGCGGCTTACCAAGTCGCACGCTGGGAGATGTCCCTGACACCACCTCCATATATCCTCCACCTATCAGGCAGCAGAGCGGACCACGATACCCGAGGAGTGGCGTAGTGCGTTGGTTATTCAGCCTCTGCCTCACAACACGGCTAGGGATACTCACGAAGGCAGGCGAACTGCGCGGGTTACAGCTTTGCAAGGACGCTATGGGTCCCGTTTTGGAGTATTCTACACGAACGCATCTGGCCCTCACCGCGCGGGGTGGTACACGGCAGCTGTAGTCCATCAAAACGTTCCCGTTCAAGTACTCACTTTTTGAGCCCCGGACACACGCGGAGGAAGTCGCCATAGCTCTCACCGCAGTGGACCCCGCATAAATTCATCGCTACCGATTCGCGGGGTGTGTGTCGAAATCTTACGAAAAGTTGCATCACCAGTCGCGCCACTCGAATACTGAAGGGGTGTTATTATCTAGACCGCCCAAACACACGTTTAGTGATCCTGACTCCAGCTCACGCAGGACTAGTTGGGAACGAGGCTGCCGGCACCTCAGCCCGCGCACTTGATTACCGGGAACCTCCTCGTCCTCCACCATCGCTTGACGATTCATAACCTAATCCGGTCACCCCCTCTCACGAAATTACAGCAATATACAGATCTAACAGGCTCCGATTTCCGCCCTCGGCGACGGGCCTAAATAAGGCGGACGAGTGCTGGCTGTTACACATTTACACCAACACAGTATTGTGTATGGCAAGACTTAAGCATTTCAATCCAGCTTTCTCAGGGGAGTGCCCACGCTATGATCATCCGTTTGCGGATACGTTCACCATGGTGTGGCATCCCCATCTAACCCGGTAGTCCCCCCAATCACTTCCCCTTCACCCCCTACCGGAGAGAGCTAGGAGGCTGCCCTGCTCGGCTGCTTGGCCTTCGAGGGTCAAAGAGCCCTCGTGGCCAGGGCACGTGCCGCGGCGGAAGCCACGGGGGTCCCGGGCTACTCCTAGAGTTTATACAGGGTCGGGCCCTAAGGCCGCCCCTATCTCCCTTATACTTGTGAATAGTATGAATAAATGTTTCTCACTACCACCATCACCCGTTCTCCGCGTGAACGCCATCGCGCGAAATGAGAAAAAGTGTGTACGAGAATAAAAAATGCCAGGAGTGCGCCGAACGCACCGTACAGTCCAGTGAGAGCTGGAAGAGCGGCCTTTCAGAGCCTTTTGTAATCACAATTTGGTTAACTGCTGCAAATAGACTTGCTGGGTACCCACTACGTCATATATAAGGAATGAAGAGAACTGACTTTATTTTGGTCCTGCGGAACGCGAATAATAATCTTAGCGTAGTTGGCCAGCATTCACTATGCTATCCTTCGTCATTCTTCGTAGAAGCATGGTATCCTCTGCACGTATTTTGCCTAAAGAATCATATCGGAAGTGGGTATGCGCCACAGTTAATAAGTGATTAAGAACAAGCTTTTCTATTGGTTTCGAGCATTGGACGATCCACTCGTTGCGCCATTTGCCTTGTGTGACGCCTGGTTGTTCTTTTGATGTTCTAAAACGCTTTATTACTCATATTAACACGATACCTTTCCCGACATCATACCCGTCTAAGGCAAGTTCCCGAATGAGTCCCAAGCACCGGCGTGGCTCAGCGGCGAAATACTAGGCTGTCACGCAGTTGACTACAGTTGTAATCCTACTATGTCCTTGGTGTTTTAGGTTGAGTTTTTTTTTTTTGCGCGATAGTGGCTACTGACTCCGGCGGTGGACAACTACAGCGTCACACGTTAACCGTGTTGTGATTTCATAACAGCTTTCGCTGTAAAATGCTCTATACAGGCAGGCGTCATGTCGGGCGAACAATTGCGCTAACAGGTGCAATATCGCGATATGGTGTCGTTGAAGGGTCAATTATAAACTTGTGCGAGTATTCGAATGCTTCGAATATTCGAACGAATAGTTGAGTATTCGAATTCACTTCGATTCGAAATTAAGTTATCGAATATTTTCGAAGTATTCCCAGTGAACGAATATGCGTATATTATTCTGCAGGTCACCGCCTGTAAAAGTGGTTTCACTGCAATGTGAAAATGTTAAACAGTGAAACCATTTACTTAAAGAACATTTGTTCTGCCGTGAAGCCCCCCTTCAAATTTAAAGGGGCGTTGCAACATTAACTGAACATTGTCAGAAAACGCTGCCGATCGGTAGTCGAGGCTACCGAAAACACGCGAGGCAAATATTATAGCGCAGAACGTGGCCTGTAATTCACAATAAAATTTCAAAGATAAAAAATGCTTTCTTTCCTCGGGAAATGACACTACAGGCTCAAAAATCACTTGCCGCAGCCAAGAAGAAATATACGGCTCTGGTCACAGGCATTGGCTGATTTGAGCATGGTGCACTCGTCGTTACCGGGGCCGCCGCTTGTCCACGAGTACGTGTGCGATGGCACTGAAAAGCCGCGTATTCGAAGAAAAAAAAAAGAGGTGCTCGAGGTCATGAGCTGCGTGTGGAGTATTTCCTTTCGCCGTGCCATTCCTCTCTGCTTAGCTTCCTGCTATTTCGTCAAGACGAGAAGAGAGAATCCAATTGCAGCGTGCGGCAATTTTGGAACTCTGCCTCTAGAAACTTTGCTGCAGTAAATTTGTGAGGCAACAAGCATGTTTGCTGGCTCCATGGCTACTTGAAAAAGTGTTGCAGGGCGCCTTTATAGGAACATGTAACCCTCAAATCAATTCATTTTATTAGGCTTATTATGACGGCTTATATAATCCTAATATGATAAATTTTAAAACATTAAGTATCTCAGGTTATCACTCGAGATACTCATCCTACCGAAACTACTACTCAAGGTTGTTTTGACTTCCTTTAAACGAAAAAAATAAATGGCATTTGCATGGAGCCCCACTTTCAATTAAAAAAAAAAAATATTGTGCAGGTTAGTTTTGTCAAGATAAATATATATTTTTATATGTCATACATACCATTTGAATTCGATTCGAAATTATTCGATCGAAATCACTATTTGCTTCGAATTCGCTTCGAACCAAAAATTCACTATTCGCACAAGCCTACTAAATTAGCAACCAATCGTCACACGATTGGAATTACGTAACGAGTGGGACGTTTATTGCTTGAAAACAATTACGAAAGATCTTGTAATAACTATTCATTGCGATCAGCCACAGCATCGACGTAACGCACATAATGCCTTACAGATGCGTAGCGGGCACCTTGGTTCTTCGCAGAATAACGAACAATGGCGTGGTGGGCGCTTGCCTACTTCACAAAATTTATTATTTATGACGTAGTTGGGGCCATGAAAGCGTATGTGTTGCTTTGCCTACGTCTCCAAATAATATTTCCTGTACATTGAAGCTGAAAACATTCTCAATCGTGCGTGTGACTACGGAAACCTTAATTTATTCGAATGGAAACACAGAAATTTGTGAGTGATTTCAAACGAAAAGAAGAAAAAAGTGAGCGCCGTAATTGTCTCTCAGGGGGTGGACACCTCAACAGTAGCTCACAAGGGGTGGGGGTAAAGGAGGGATCAAAAGGATAGTACTAAAAGGTAAAGAGAAGATTACTGCCAACCCACTTGCAAGCGGGTTGGCAGTAATGATTGCAGGAGTGCAGGCAAAACTGTTCGTTTTATTACAAGTTTTCTCTACGTGCGCGTATTTTCAAACACACTGCAAGTGGTCATCGATTTATTTTTTTATTTTTTTGAAGTTGTGCTTTCCAGTCGGATGAGCATGGGTTTCACGTTCAGTCCATGAAACCCATGCTTCGAATAGATGCCACATATGCTGCCAGCACGGCTTCGAGGTTGACAGCGACAGAACCCGCGTCACTCAATTTTGGCGAAATTTGGTAATGTTGAATCAAATTAAGCAACACTGTGGGGAGAACAGAATGAGATCCGCAGACGTAAACAAAACGAGGCGCATGGACTCGAGAGACACTAGTAAAAAATAGGTGGCGCGATAATTTTTCCCGATGCGTGGTGCGGACAATTCGAGTTCATCGTCGTCTTCGTCGTCGTCGTCGTCGTCGTCGTCGTCGTCGTCGTCGTCGTTGTCGTTGTTGTTGTTGTTGTTGTTGTTGTTGTTGTTGTTGTTGTTGTTGTTGTTGTTGTTGTTGTTGTTGTTGTTGTTGTTGTTGTTGTTGTTGTTGTTGTTGTTGTTGTTGTTGTTGTTGTTGTTGTTGTTGTTGTTGTTGTTGTTGTTGTTGTTGTTGTTGTTGTTGTTGTTGTTGTTGTTAAACGCACGTTATGAATTTGTAATATCAATATATATTATTGTTCTGATGATCGTGGCAGTTCCTTCTGTACCTAATGATTACTGGTTACCAGAGTGCTCCACTCCACTACTAACGGAGATTAATGAACACAGTTTGCGAAATGATCTGTTTGACTTCCTTGGCATAAAAAAGATCATGTAACACGAAACACACTTCCCTTAACGTAAACGTGAAGCCGTTAAACAAAATAATTATTAGGTACCAGAGTACTCCGGTCTGGTAATAACGGAGAATAATGAACACATATTGCAAAATGTTCCGTTTTACTTCCTTGGCATAGGAAAGATCATGTGACACGAAGCGCACTTTCTTTGACGTTAACATGAGGCAGTTAAACGAAGTTCGAGGGTGCCCGTCTTGTGGGTAATATATATTGCGCTCGTTTCGTTAACTTCATATATACCGAAATCGGCATGTCATTAATGTGACAAACAAAAATGACTGGTTGGAATGTACGTTTCATTTGCGTGGTACATATACCACAATGCACATTAATGCATGCGTGCGTGTATGCCAAACAAGCTATAGCGAATAACACGTAGTTACGTGAATGACTTCATTTGTATCAAAGGCAAACCGTGCAGTGGAAGGAATGCATCGCTTCTGCATCGCTTTACGTTAACTTCCACAGTTCGCGTCTGTCTGCTGGTTTTTTTTTTTTTTTAACAGCGGAGTTGTGTAAGCCGGCCGTAGCAGGCCAGAGCATATAGTAGCAAGCCAGAGTATATAGTAGCTATGGCTGAACCATTTACACCCCTTCCATCTCCAATAAAATATGACTCTCGATCTTATTGAACAGGAACGTGTTTATTTGCGGCTTCAAATACAATAGCCGTCGTCCACTTAATATCGCACAACTCCTGCGCAGGGTCCTATTGCATTGAAATGCTTCTCACCACTCCATTCAGGCAATTCTGCGAGGATGACATGACAAATTGAAATTAGATATATTGTTTGTATAATATAATACGGCTCAATTTATTGGCTATTCGTATGCGTGTGTGTGAATGTACGTAATAGGAACATTTTACAGTACAGTGATGTCAAAAATATCTCTGTAGCAGGGATGGCATACACGCAAAATTGTACAACAAAATAGGGCTGTCAACTAGTCAAGCTGTTTTAGGCGCAGCTTTGTTTTCACGGTCCTTTCTTTCTGTACGACAGAATTAAAAATGGACACTTGACCTGACTTCAAAGTAAATCGTAAATCTAGTGCCACGCGCAAGGATATGACATACGCCAACTTAAGAAGCTGCACTTTGCAAAATATGAGTATATACAACTACATATCCCAACATTTATGCCAATGAGACCTGCGACAATATGGCGATATAATTGATCCACAAAGCACAGGCATGCTTACAAAGAGGAAATAACAGTCAATTACAAATATATTATTTCAGATGTACCGAGATATTTGATCCTACGCATCGTGGAAATTCCTTCTAATATTGACAGGGTGCACAATGCTGTTCTGCAAATGATCGTACGCAGGCGCTCACACATATTTTTATTAGCTGTCGATTACAGTCAGTCACGTGTGAATGGTATGGCATTATGAAGACAATAGGTTTCGTAACTTTCCTTTCTAAGGAATTCGGGAAAGCGCACGGCTGCATCGCTTTTTTGTTTACTTTAGAAGCACTTTTGCAATGCGTGCAAATGTCAATGTTGTGTTAGTTCTTCTTTCTTTCTTTTTTACATCAGTTTAGCTGCTCTTTCAATCATCCTCCCTTTAGGGTATTTATATATCTGCAATGGTTGTTCGAATCTAGAAGCTGCCAATGTGGCGCATTTCCGTAACACACGTTTGCGGCAATTTTATTCTTAAACGTACAATTCCGCAAATGGGCCGTTATACGGTCAGTTGCCGCTCATATATAGCAAAAATAACGTAGTATTACTTACAGTTACCGTCGAATTGAGCCCCTGCAAAAAGAAAAAAGGAGGAGTTTCAATCACCGAAACTATACTAGCGCGCAAGGCAGCGTAGCAATTTTTACCGTGAACCATATCGAATTCACTTGAAGTTCTAGTTAGGCGTACGAAAAGCTGCAAAGAGCACATGCGCCCGCTGCGAGCTTGTGGTTATTTACCACAAGTTACCCCAACCTAATCAATTCTATTGTTGATTGTTGGCTAGATATATTGCTGCGCACATACCGCAGCAGTAGTGCGGCGTAATTCAAGCGTAACATAAAAAAAATAACGTGTCACAACGAGCTAACATATGTCGCCTTGTCTATTTACGCAAAAACACCCAGCAATGAAAAACAGCGCATGCCACCGTGTTGCTATCCACTAGCATTCATAATAGGCCTTGGGATATATTTATTGTGACTGTCAAACGTGTTACATCGCACCGGCGCGCATGGTACCACCGTTTCTTTTTACTGCGAAAGCTGTTATTAGATCACAACTCGGCTCACGCGTGGTTGTCCGCCGCCGCCGGTGTCCGTAACCACATAGCGCGAAATCAGAAGAAAAAAAACCTAGCACCAATGACACAGTAGGGCTCGAACCCGGGTCCACTGAGTGCCAGCCCCGTAAGCTACGCCGGTGCATGTGACGTGTTGGCAAACTTGTCTGAGGCAGCCTTGATCACGGGAACGCAATCACGTCACTACGACTTATAAACCGTTTTAAAACAGTGAAAGAACAACAAGTTGTCTCACAATGCGAATAGCATAACGAGTGGGCCGTCCAATGCTCCAACCCATTACAAAAGCTTCTTCTAGTTCCCTTGTTAACTGTGGCGCATACCCACTTCAGCCATAATTCCTCATCGTCGTCAACCACTGCAAGAACAATTGGCACACAATTCCTTGCGAGTGTTTGTAGGATACCAGGCTTCTCACAAGAGGGACGAAAAACAGCATAGCATGTCCGCCAACTACCCCAAAAATTTATTATTAATGCCCTATAGTGTGTGTGCTTGCAGTGGTTACCCAATGAGTGTTTTGAAAAGGCTCTGAAAGGCCGCTTCTTCTAGCTTTCGCTGTGACTGTGCTGCGCCTTCCGTGCAGGCCTGGCATTTTTTCACCTTGTCTGCTTTATTTCTCTCCAACATTGAATTCTTCCATTACTTTTTTTTTGCATTTTGACTCTATGCTGCAATTCATTCGGAGACAAGACTACAGCTAGTCCAGTACAATCTAACAGCTAGTGTGCCTCTTGAATTGATCAAAATAGCGCAGTAATATTCATTTTAAAACTGCGTAACGTAAGGCAATAAAATAAGGTGCATATGTCTGTAGTTATCCCACATTGCATTTACTATCATAACGCAATATTATTTTTTAATGTGTCTAGCCCATTTGCATCGCCAAAAACACAAGGACATCCAAAAGTTAAGGGTAAACAAATTCTTACCGGCGGTTCTAACTTTACTTACCTTTCATTTGCCTGTCTTCATTCTAAACCTTACCTCGTTCCTAATCAATATCTCATTTTCAAAGCTAAGTACTTTTACTGTTATGATAGCTATGTGTGCAGCGGCATGCCTTAACACTTCAGTTCCGAGTGGCAGTTATTGTACAAAACGTTATGCTCTCGAACACTAAATTTCCTGCAAAATGCAGGCTTATAAATGCGATTGCTAAAAGCAAATGCGCTAATTATTACGATTTTTATTAGCGTATGCACTCACCGCTTCACGTCCCAAGCAGTCCACCTTGTTGAGAGAAAAGAATATTTGAAATGCGCATCAGGATCTTTGACGAGATTAAGCGGTCGCAAGTCGTAGCCTAATTAGACAGTGACTTCTAGTGAAACAGTAATGACAATATCTGCTGCTTTACGTCTCAAAACCATGATGTGAATACGAGAGACATTGTAGTGTGTGGGGGGAGGGGGGGGGGGGGGCTTCGAAAATATTTACTGTGTGGTGTTCTTTAAGAGACACTGCCATCACACAGTGCCCGGGCCTCTAGCATTTTTCCCTCGATCTAAAATGTACCTAGTGATGAAATGAAGCACACAGCGAGACATTTGGCATATTTTCAGGTGTATTACGACAAATTTTACGAATGAAAATTTCCGAAGTAGATCTCATCTCCCGTCGGAGATTTTTCCAACAAGATTAGTAAAAATAATATATTTTGCTCATTTGTAGACATTCGCCAACCTGCTGTCGTTTGGCGATACGTCTTTGTACTCGAACTCCACCGGCTGACTCCCTCATTGAATCCGTACCTATATATACTCACTGCAGTCGTGATACGCCGCAGACTAAGATAACGCTGTGTGTTGGTTCCCTGAACAACCAAGGAACATTTCTGTTTTTTTTTTCGTTTTTCAAAGTTTTAAACCTCATAGGTGAGGCGCGTTGCGCAAGTATACACACACACACAAAAGGACGCTTGAACAGAGAAAGTAAAACAACCTGAACGGGTAACTAACGCAAGCAAGTGAAGTGCGATAAGCCCACACGTTTATGTGTTAACATACGAAACCACTCCGCCGCGGTGGTCTAGTGGCTAAGGTACTCGGCTGCTGACCCGCAGGTCGCGGGTTCGAATCCCGGCTGCGGCGACTGCATTTCCGATGGAAGCGGAAATGTTGTAAGCCCGTGTGCTCATATTTCGCTGCACGTTAAAGAACCCCAGGTGGTCGAAATTTCCGGAGCCCTCCACTACGGCGTCTCTCATGATCATATGGTGGTTTTGGGACGTTAAACCCCACATATCAATCATCTGTCATACGAAACGAATTTTCTAATAACATTCGATTCGCCTGAAAGAGCTGTCGAGTGGCATAGCCAGGTGGGCTGCCCGTCTCCCGAAAAAATTTGCATTTCGTATGCATTACTGAATACGCACACACATCAACACGCACGACCGTAACGAAACGCCAAAATCCATCCACCCCCCCCCCCTTCACCAGAAAAATTATGGTTGTGAGTCATGACAGAATTATGGGCAGTTCAGTGGGCCCATGCCATGGCGGAGAGGCTAGGCCTATCGGTCCCGACATAAGAGCGGCCCACCGCGTACTCGTTCACGCCCTGAACGACATAAGGTTTATTCACGCCACCCGCAGCTCGTGCATTCGTGAGGCATTGTTCCAACGGGCGGCTTCTACACCTATATATTGGCGAGCGTATAGCCTCAGATGGGCGTATCCAATAAACCCTACATATAACCGAACTTTGGATAACAACACTCCCTGCCAAAAAAAAAAAAACTAGTATTTCACTGCTATTTGATCCGAAGTCTGGCCTCTTATCTCTCCCCGCATGGCCATAACGGCTTTAAAAAGACAACCTATGCCAAATCCTCTGCACATGTTCTCAGATTCATTCACCAGTCTTTCAATATCTACGATGAGGAGCAGCTATAGAGGCTGCCGTGTGCAGACCATGGTGCCGAATGTACAAGACCATATCCTGGACTCGCCGAAAGATGGGGCCAAGATCGGCCCAGTCCAGAATTTTGGGGAGGATCACTGATTAGCTCTCCGAGGGCAACCCATTCCTTTCCCAAAGCCCCGTTCCATATGCTAGCGACCTTTCCTAAACGTTTTTCTCTTACCCTCTTCTGCCTTCATTATACGCACAGAACAAAAGATAATCAAAAATTTAACGAGGCCCCCATGCTGTAGACGCTCCAAAAAATGCATTGCTATACCACCATCATGTGTGGAATCGCGGCCTATTACTATAGTTATAAATTTCGTTTCTTTTGTTAAAAATCTAAATACCGCTATACATTCATAAGCTCCAAAATTTTTCCCGGTGTTGACATAGCCGCACTTTGCCCTTTTTCGAAGCTTTCAAAACTCAAGCAGGTGTGTCCGGCACCCGCCACGGTGGTCTGGCGGTTAAAGAGCTACATTGCGGCCCCGAAGCTAGCGAGATCGAATCCCGACATCAGCGGCCGCCCATTTCACGGATTCGACAAGGCTAGAGGCCTGTGTACTGAAATTTATGCGCACGTTAAATAACTGCTGGTGGTTAAAAATTGCGGAGCCCTGCACTACGGAATTCGTCGAGATCATATCATGGTTTTCGGACGTTCAACCCAAACAGTTATTATTAGGTGCGTTATTATTAGGGAACAGTTATTATTAGGACTTGGAAAAGTTCGCACGTATCCACAAGTAGTAAGACGGTAAGTTGGGCCGGTTGGTTAGGATCCATCGGGACAGGGAACTCCTTCCCTGTCCTGTATTTTTTCTGGTGTTGCGCTGTAAGTAAGTTCATGACGTATCCACAAGCTTTCAAAGACATCCCACGTCTAAAAGCGTGAGTCTGACAAACGAATGCGCTGCGTCGTCAATGACTGACTCACAACGCACCGCTGTCGTGAAGTCAAACTCGTAGTGAAATATAGATCGTGCTGTTATCGCCTAGCTTTGTGTTTTATTGTAGGTTACCGTAGAGAAAGAGAAGAAAAAACAAGTCCGTCTGTAACAATGACCACCAGAAACTCTGTACTTACAATTTTATCCATTGGTTGCGACTTACAAGTCTGGAACCCCTGGCAAAGAAGAAGAAGAAACCACGCACTGTCAGCGAAACACTGAGGGCACATTTGAGTTATAACTGCGACAGCAAAAATCTTATGGGTAAAAAAAGAACGTAGTTGGTACCGCTCATCGCTATTTAGACTTGTAAGAACATGTGAATTGGCGTATAATAAAGACCGCATACTTACCTTCATAAGCTTCTCTATCTGCGGGTTGCCACCCTTCATTTGCATAATTTTGCTCATATCCACGTTGCCGAAGCAAGCCATGGCTTTCTTCATCAGGGCCAAGCCTTCAACAAAGGGAACATATCTTTAATTTTTGCGAAGACAGTACGAATTACTTGAAAATCACCGGCGACAACATTATTATAATACTTCGGCTCAAAGGCTCGAACCAGCGGATATCTGTTGCACGAAATATCGAAACGAACCACTCAGTGAACAAGTAAGATTGACCCCATATTTTTTAGTGCTCAATCGTTACTTTATGGCCCGTAAAGACGGAGAGCTCCCAAGGCTTTCACTCTATAGAAGTTATACTCTATAGAAGTAAATCAAGTGATGGCGCTGAGTTGACAGTGGAGCCTTTAGGCCTTCCGTTATGTAATAACTCGTCGACAGAAAAATAACATCATCACAAACAGTCACGAGTTCTCTGCGTCCTCTTCTTGTTCTGTTTCGCTCCGAGAACAAGTGCGCTGATTCGTACGGCGTGGGATGCAATAACTCTGACGGGTGAGCGAGCGAGTTCACACAGAGAATGAAGAGATCAAGGGGGGAAGAAAGGCGAGAACGAGATAAATAGCGTTAAAAAGAAAAAACTACATATAGAAAGTAAGTAAATAGATGACTTGCACGTGGGGTCACCGAGGCCACTTCAGAAAGTACCTGTGACTCCGCGGCAGATGTTTGAATGAGAAACGAGTTGTGTCTAAGTGAAAAATGACGTGGCAGGAACGTCTCTGTGCGTGAATAACGAAAGAACCAGCGTGTGACGTTTTGATTAAGATTTTGTCATCAGAAACGTCACGTGCCCACATGCTGCTGCTACAGCAATGGCACTTTCAGTGACGTCAGAGCAACTTATCGATTCAAATGTACACAGGCAAAGAAAGGGAGAAAAGTTCGAAAATGCGGAGAAACAAAAAAGGTCACCCAGCTCCGCGCTCGCTTCAAGCCTGGCTCCACTAACGTTACACTGCCTCTCCATTTCTCTCTCTCTCTCTCTCTTTATGTTGTGCACCGTCGATGCTACTGCGAAAAAAATGCATAGTTCCGCGAGTTGAAGTATGGAACAGAAAGCAATTTAGTGCAGCGAAGCACAACTTTAATGGGACTACTATGTAGTTCATCACACACTTTGGCAATCGGGAAAGAAACAGAAGCGCCCGGTTTCGTACTTCCTTTTGTTTACTTGTTTTGTCAGACGCAATCAATCACATTAGCTATTATACCTCTAGGCGTCTATATTTTAGGAATTTGCATCTCAAGACTAGTTTCACCAGGAAAACTTGCTCAGTGCGTGCTCGCCTGTTTACACTCTTAAATTACTGTTCCTAAATTTTCGATGTGTGCCGTAACGCGTAAGCAATAAAAGTTACGTACGTAGTGAAAACTAGTTAATTACTCGGTAGTGTATTCTGAACTACGGTGCAAGTATGTTTGCTTGGAGTAACCGAGCTCAGGGATCAGGGTTGCGCTATATGTAACAATGTTTCTGTACTTATCCTGTCCATTTTAAACATCAAGAAATTCCCCACTGGATGTATTCGAGCATAATCGATGATTCGCCAGCGTTTCGCCGTGGAAGCTATCAGGTAGATATGCTCAACTGCTAAGCCCGAGCAGGCGTGTTCGATACCCAGCCCTGCATAGTGGCTGCCATAGGGCTCCGCAGGATACTGTCTTCGGGGTGCAAACGCATGTCGCATTACGGTTGGCAGAGGGGGAACGCTGGCGTAGCATTGGTGACGGCGAATGGTGGTGCTGATTGGAGGGTGGGGCAATGGCCCCTTCTGCACTCTCCTACCGACGCCCATGGTGGCCGCGTGTTAATGGTGCCATGTTCAACGCCTGTATCTTTACATTTAGGCGCACAGAAATGAATCCGAGGGAGTCAAAGTTAATGTAGGCTCCCCCGATAAAGAAAGTCTTTCGTAATTACACGGTGCTTTGTCACGTAAAACCCAGGGTTCTAATCCATTAACGAAACTTCGATAGCTTCCAATGACGCATTCGTACGCCTCGAGTAATGACCATGCCGACTACAGTAATTAACCCAAACAATGATACAGACGTTGCACACGGTACCTTTTTGCATGTCGGCTTGGCCGTAGTTGCACGTGACGCATGCGAGCAGAAAGACGGCTGTAGTGATAACGGAGACCTTCATGACGATGTCTGCTGCTCCCCGTTTATGGATGAAGACCCGTTCCTTCCACCGCGTGCCGTCGGAGCAACGTTCGGCCTTTTAAAGGGGGCAACGGGCCGCCCCACACTCGCCCTCGTTGCAGTTGTCACGCTCGTCGCCACTCAACACGTGGAGTGCGCACCTGAACCGACAGTGCAAAGGAGGCGCCTGAAGCAACAGTTTCTCGAGTTGCGAGATTGCGTGATCGGGGCAGTGTCGAGGGAGCGTAGTTCTCACCGGAATCGGATTAACAAGTTGAAGATCGAATGGCGTGCACACCTTTCGGCAACGCAGCTTCTGCAATGCCACGAACGTGGACTTTGACGCAACAAGTTCTTGACGTCCCCGTTGGCAAGAACTGTTCGACAACGGCACTGACACTAGTTAATCGTGCACGTGATCTTACAATCTATCGTTGCGGAAGAAATGACCCTAGTTAAAGACCTTGTTGCATGTTTTTTTCATTAGTTTAGTTTTACTGCATATGTGAGCAGAGGGACACTACAGCATCAAGCGGAAGCTGAAGAATCGGCTTTTTTAAGAATAAGACTTACAGATTTGGGTGCACGTTAAAGAACCCCAGGTGGTAGAAATTTCCAGAGCCGCCACTACGGCGTCTCTCATAATCATATGATGGGTTTCAGACATTAAAACGCACATATCAATCAAGCATATGATTTGTACGCTCGTACTTGACTGAATCATGTTGTACAATTGTGATATACAGTTTCGCTTAGAGAAAAAGATGACGAGCGTATCTATAAGGGTTTGTTTCGAAATGCGGAAAGCCAATCAGTCGGCCCAAGCATGCAGGACGGACTCGTGATGCAACTATTATACAATGATAAGGTACGTCTTTGGTTGCTCACACGAGCAAGTTTCTCGCTTTCGATACAGAAAATTATTCGCGTTATCCAAGTTTGTCATAATCAAGTTGACATTGAGCTTCACCCCTTTGTAACTTTTTTTTTACCCGTTTATCCTACTACAACGCCGTCAGACACGAACAGGTGGCACTCCTGCACTTCAAAGCTGTTTTCCATTCCTCTTGTAGAAAGCAGACATAGCGATGTAATGCGACGTTGACCACTAAACCTTAAAGATGAACACTTTGATGATTAACAGGTCAACTTTGTAAAACATGCATTTCCCGCACTAGGGTTCCAGTTTCCATCTGCTTGCTTTCATCATTTCCTTTGATGCTATAGACTGTTTCATTGTGAGTTTCGGTGCCGTCATATTAGGCTGATAACTCCGGCATTTTGCATCTGTAACAGATAAACGAACAGGTGCTATGGTAGACGCATATAGGCATGCAAACAGTTGGGTTGATACATTTGACGTTTTATTACCTTCTTAAGTTCCCGTCACGGCCAACAAAAATGAGATAACATTTGCTTAACAGTCTAAGTTGGCGCTGTCCATGCGTCTCAAGTAAAGATATCTGTAGGGGAGGTCATTTTTACTCTCGTACCTACGTTTAAGGCAAGCATACGTAATATTGACCCTTCAGTTGTGATCTGCAGGCGTGGCCAGTATGGTCGCGCTGGGGGTTTGGTTACATGACAGTTGTTGGCGAGTGAACACTGGCCACCGGCGGGCGATGAAGGCAGGCCGGACGCAATTGGGCTCGTCCATTGCACCTGACCCGTAGCCCTCCATCGAGGACGACAGTCCCCTCCCCTGCAAGCGACGAACATTCTGTGCGCACCAGTTCAATCACAGAGAGCACGATGTATTACGCTCTAATATCGTGGAAGCATGGGTGTCTGCGAGGGTAGGGTGTGAAAAAGAACCCCCCCCCCCCCTAGTCACCCCAGCACTTATCCCCATTTCAATCAACAGCACTGTTTTCCCCCTCGCCGCATGAGGGATTGCTTTGCACCCCCCAAAAAATCGTGACGACACCCATGGGCGATAATAAGAATGATAAGAATGGGCTCGTTGCGGGTGATACGTCGTGAAACTTGTAGCGCACTAATAACACGGACGAAGAAAGTGAAGAGAGGACGGTACGCCTTTCTTGTCTCGCGTCATCTGGTCTTCACTCTCAGCGTCCGTGTCCTTAGTACGCTATCATGCAGTTTCTCCTCTAGCGAGGAATGCCGATAGACGTATGGAAATTCCCATCCAGTTAAGAGTGCATAATGTTAAGGCTAGTTCAACGGGGGCCACCACTAGTGTGTGGATTAAACCACCCTCACGACAGAAGTATAGGAAGCAGTCAAGAAAACACTGTGAATGTGCACTTCTGCTCACAAGTAAGATTGGTTCTTTTAGCGCGACGATAAGCGAACGCGCTGGCACGTAGCCACATAATTGCAGCCAGTTTCTCTGCATCAAGATTTCAGGAAGGAAGATCGTTTACATGCCTAGAAATTGTCACTAATAGCGCACAGTGGCCAAACTACGTTTTAGGGGCGAAGCTCCTTAAAGCGGCACCCATTCGTCCCTCGTTGTCGTAGTCGTAGTCGTAGTGTGTAACCAGTGTTACATTTTGACCTGCAAGGTGGTGCCGGTGGGAGATTTCTCCTGTGCTTTGTTGAACAATAAAAAGTTCGCGGCGTGCGCGTTAACTAAATGCCGAATGCTCCTGTCTCTCATTCCCCATTAGCATTGAGCCATCTATGCTCAATGGCTGTACATTGAGCATAGATAGTGCTCAATGTACAGCCATTGGCAATGTACATTGCCAATGGCTGTACATTGGCAATGTACATGCCAATGTACAGCCATTGGCATGTACATTGAGCACTATCTGACAAGAAAGGGTTGTTACGTTATACTCCCTGGGTGTAAGTAACCTCCTTAGTTTTAGAAAGGTTTAGCGAGCGTTGAGCCGCAGTGCCATGAATAAAATGAATTAGTATATACCATGAACTCCATGTGGTTAAAGGTGGGAAGTAGATACGAAGCGCAAGCCGTAAGAAAGTAAAAGCTGAATTTTCCTGTCTCTCATTTCTCATTAGCAGCCATTGGCATGTACATTGAGCACTATCTGACAGGAAAAGGTTACTACGTTACACTCGCTGGGCGTAATCTCCTTGGTTTTAGAAAGGTTTAGCGAGCATTGGGCCGCAGTGCCATGAATACAATGAACTAGTATATACCATGAACTCAAGGTGGTGGAAGGTGGGAAGTAGACCCGAAGCGCAAGCCGTAAGAAAGTGTGCGTGTGCCACCTCTCGTTTAGTCCTTGGAATGTCCGCTGGATGGTGGTGCTTCTATATGGAGAATATATGATGCAAAAGATGCGAGATGGTGGTACTTGGAGAGTTGACTAGATGGACGAACGGACACCCAGACAGATGCATGGACGGACGCACGGATGGCTGCATGGACGGATGGACGCATGGACGGACGCAGGGGCGAATGCATGGACGAACGCAGGGACGGACGCATGGAAGTACGGATGGTCACACAGACGGACGCATGGACGGACGGAAGCAAGAACGAATGGACGTACGAATGCTTCGCCCCACTCTCTATCATTCACTCCGTGGATATGCTGCCATTTTTTAGACGCCGGTCGTGTCAGTCGCGCCTCGCGTCGGAGCTCACGTTTTGCTAGCTAGCGTAGCTGTGCTCAGCGTGCCCACTCAAGCAAGAAGAGAGACGCGCGCATCACGTTCCATTTTGACTTTGCCATTTGCTCCAGAGGGAGCGCATGTGTTACATTGGTATATTCCCTTTGTTGCCCTCCGCCAGAGCGGTGTGCTCTGCCGCAGAGTTCGTGGGTCACTTTGAATCCACCTGTGAATGACGCCATTAGCAAGGTTTAGCGCAGGTTGGGCCGCAGTGCCATGAACTAGCGGCGGTGAAAGGTGGAAACTAGACACGCGGAGCAGGCCGTAAGAAAGTGCCCGCGTGCCGCTCCTCCAGTCCGGCCATGACACCTCTCGTTTAGTACTTAGAATGTCCACTGGATGGCGGTATTTCTTTATGATAAATATATTCTGAAAAAATTCGAGGTGATGGCACTTGGAGGGTTCACTAGATGGACGGACGGATGAACAGAAGCACGTTCGGATGGACCGAAGCACGAATTGACGGATGGACACGAATGAACGGACGGATGGAAGAGCGTGTGGATGGATGGCCGCGTGGACGCATGCCTGAATGGACGCATGGATGGACGCACAAATGACCACACAGGCGGACGGACTGATTGATGCTTCGCCCCACTCATCATTATGCACTCTGTGGATATGCTGAGATGTCTTTCTGATTTCGCTCTCGCCGTTTACAAAGGCTACCGCAAGCACCCATGACCACAAGGGTTTGCTTAATCATTGATCATGAACCGTAGTTGTCGGACTGGAGATTTATATCACCGTCAACATGGATGCCTTCACGTTAAACGGCGCTACAGCTCTCAAACATCAAGAAAAACCGTGATAAGCTTTCTTATACAAATGTATACTATTCTGTAAGGATTTATGTATACAATGTATGCTTTTCTGTGCGGAATTATACTAATCGGTACGGATTATGTTTTAGGGGTGAAGCTAAGGAGGGCCAAGCTCCAGTTAGTCTAACCTTGTCCTGCCTCAAGCGTAACCGAACAGACAGACAGACAGACAGACAGACAGACAGACAGACAGACAGACAGACAGACAGACAGACAGACAGACAGACAGACAGACAGACAGACAGACAGACAGACAGGACTGGTGAACGGACGCTTCGCCCCACTGATCATCATTCACTCCGTGGATAGGCTGTGACTTTTTATTGGAATTATGTTTCAATAAAACAAACCATGTTTTTATTGAAACCTCCACCTGCTGGTGCTGAATTTTTAGAAGACATCTTTAGCTATACAATTCCAGGGTTTTTGTCATCTTACGGTCGTTTGGTCAAAGGATAAAAAGGAAACATTGGTTTCTATTTTGCGTTGACTTTTTGTTGTATGCTGCATGTAAAGCTATTTGTGTAGGCAACCGAACTCTGCTGCATAGTCTGACCATGCAAGAAGGCTTTTCGGAATCACTTAAGCTTCGCGAGCCTTTCCACGACTGGCTCCAG